TTCGAAGATTGTTTTTAAACCCATTAGACACATAAGTAGTGAATTCAAGAAGATTGGATACAGTTGATTTACCTTTGCAAAAACCGTGTTGCGATAGAGCAATATCGAATTGAATATTCCACCATATTTTAATACTAACGATTTTTTATATGTCCTCTGATTGATTTTTTTTAGGTTTTTGGGGACCTATAAAAAATAGTTAATATTAAAAAATTGTTAAATACATAATTTGGTATTATTATTGGAACCGGAGAGTACTATCGATATTTTATCTGCAATACTCCGCCTAAGATCAATATTAAGCAATAAGCCAATAACTGTAATCGTCTTAAACTTTCGATGTTGGATCCTGTTTATTTTGAAGGTCATAACCCATATACCTGATTCATTTAGTTAGGTAGCATTTTTACCAGTTTTATGAATGTTTAATATTTTTCTTTTTATTTACTTGAAATTTTTTTAACGAGCTTTAATTTTTAATTCTTTATAACTAACTTGCCAATAACCATTTGCCATGAAATTTTTTCTTTTAAAAATTTGTCAGTCTATCAGATTCGGCCAGCGAAAAGTTGACATTGAAAGCTCCTGCGAGAATCGCAGGTCGATGAGAACAGTCAACTTATCTTTATCATTAAATATACAAAAGTAAAATAGCCAAAACTGGTGAAAATGTCACCTAACTTAATTAGCTGGCTACAAAGGTGTATCAACACTGTATGTATGCCGGTAAATAAGTACCTATTTAAATCCGGTAAATAAGTATTTAAATTTGGAAAAGATTTCTTTTTAAATAGGTACTCGTAATAAACAATATGCTATCTCATGTTCGTTTGTTTTGCTCCTTTTAGTTTATTAGAATATACTCACATACATACATAGGTACATATATGTATACTTCTCTAGCGCGATGTAGCGAACAGGTGGCGCATTTCGCAAACCGCCGCGTTGGTCTTGCCGAGTTTTACAGTTCTCGATTTTCGTAAACAAAGCCTCAAAAACTTTAAATGCACCGAAAATTCGCTATACTTCCACTAAAATCACACTTTTTTCACATTTTATTTATTAATTTTTATTACAAATCATATATGTATTTTCACAATTTAAAGCAATAAAAAAAGAATGGAATATATTAAGATAATTGACTAATCTCACATTCTCTTTTATCCTCCAATTCGGCTTTGCTACTTTTTACCCACAAATGTCATCGACGTCGGGAATGTGCAATCTTGTATTCTATCATTCTTGCTTCTTCAGTTTGCTTCACAAAGTCTTTAATTTTGCTCTCACCGATATGCTCAACGGCACTTCTTAGAAATAATCTGCAGAAACAATCATACAACCGCCCCAACAAAAGTTCCAAAAAGTTAATTCGTCAGCCAGTTTCTCTCCATCACTAGATTTGCACGGCCGGTTATTCTCTGACAGTGTTTTTTACACTTTTTTTTAATGAAATCAAAACTTAAAGGATAATTGAAAAAGTTGTATGATTTATACTCCAAAATATATTCGCTCCAATTTGCCCGCCGGTTTCGAAGAACTGTACACGAAATGGGTTCAATAATAAAAGTTCTACTTGTACTCCTCGTGGTCGTCCTGGCCGTCTTTGTACATCGGCTTCATTTATTGTCAAGTTCAGCGCCGCTGCCTGCATTAAGTGATACGGAGTATTGGGGTCCCGGCAGTGCTGCTAATTACAAGGAGAATACCGACATAAAAA